CATCGTTGTCGTGTAAACGTAGCCTTAGAGAGAAATAGAGATAAATCCCACAGGAATTACATTTGTAAAGTGGTCATCCACCTAGAATGGTAGTCCCATTTATAAAATAAAGATTTAGGTAACTTTACAGTATGGCATAATCGTAACATCTTTCCCCATAGACGTCCACAGCAAATGCGTTACTCTGTGTAACTTTTTTTTTTCTGGAGGGAGAGTTTGGGTTTCTCAGAAGTAAAACATGCTTGTGGTCAAATATACAGTAAATACAGATAATAATTTTGCTTGGATTTCTTTGGTTTCTCTCAGGAAAACTATTACTTCTGAGGAGCAGGATGGCATGTGCGTGACTCTTTTGTTCCACTTTGTTTTCGTATGGCTAGTTTCAAGGCCTTTTTATTTGAACTTTTGAAATAATCAGCCGACACAAAACCTTTATGAAATTGAATGTCTCAAATCCTGCTGACCCTGCAGAAGACATGAATACTCCCTCTGAATTGTCACCCTCATGGCATTATTTCCCTTCTGATGTCGGGTAATTTTTTCTACTTGATTGCAAATTACATAGAGAGAGCTTATCTGGTCACAAAGCTGATGCTTGTCTTTCTGTATTCAAGGCCCCTTAAAAGAACGCGGGGCACATGGCACTGAAGACTATGCAGAAACCAGACATTATGCCTAATTGCCTTTGATAATAACAAAGGGCCTCCTATCTTCGGCTCCCCTCAGCTGTCCTATGAGTCACATCCCTGTCCCATCTCAGTATCCCTCTGCCCACTTCCGTCTTCACTTTGCTTTCAAGCTATGAAATGGCCCATGACTAATCATCATGTACAGCATGTTAAGTGCATGGGCATAGGTCTACCCTTTCACCTTTCAACCCTCACATATGAAATATTTGACAAGTGGACCAGAGTAACCATGGACTTTAGACTATAATCCTCATTTTAGAGGCCAGAGTTCAGAGATCACAAGTGACAAGCACATGCATCTTAGGAAACGACATGAAATCCATTACAAACAAGTTAGATATGGCCACACTTGGGGTTCTTGACTGACCCCTTCTCCCCTATTCATATTCCTCTATCTATCTATCTATCTATCTATCTATCTATCTATCTGCCTGTCTGTCTGTCTATACATTCAATTAAATTTGCGCATTAATAAATACACTTGCTTTGTATCTTTGCTTGAAGTTAAAAAAGTAAAAAAATAGAAATTGAGGGTAAAATAATAATAATAATTTGAATAAAAGGGATGTACAATATTAAAATTGTCAAATGCTGATAAGCTGATAATTATTTATGGATTTTGCAAATAAATAAACTATTTGTTTTATCTAAGTAAATTAAAATGCTGAAAACAGTTGTTTAAATGCTAAAATTTTATTTAGGCATCACAACATTATGATGTGCAATATTAAAAATAGACATTCATTTTGAAATTTGATAAAGATTACATTTAACAGTGTTACTAAATTAGTAATGTTTTAAGTGAGCATTAGGTGACAGCCAATGTAATCTAAATCTAAAAATGAGCAAGCACAATTAAACATCCAATAACGGGCCAATACCAATAAATAAATAAAAAATCATTCTACACTATATGATATTGATTTATTGTGCATCCGAATTAAATATAGTGCAACATTATTCGGCACATTTAACATCTGGTTAAGTTGGATTTGTTACTGAATAAGTTTTAGCGAATTCACTTGCTTTCTAGTTGTTCTAGTAGTTTCTAGTAATGCGAAAATCTTTAGGAAGTCTCACATCTTCTTGGTGTTATCAATGAATCAAATCACTAACCCACTATTACCTGTGCCCTTCTGTAGCTTTGAAGGAAATCAATAACAAACAGCCCCTGAAACCCTGACATTTACCACAAATAAGATCAAATGTACAGTCGTAAGTTTAGAAGTGTCATTTTTGTGGAATGGTAAAATAATTTTGAAATTGTTCTCCAAAAAAAAAGAGCAACGTCGCCAGGCCCCAAGGTCAAGGGTGAGGTAATTAGATATGAGTTCCTCTCTGAGAGCAGACAGTAGACAATGATTACATTGTTCTGTATCTTCTGTGCCTCTCTTTTATTTGAGGAACACAATTATTTTAGTCTTTCGCTGAGGTTCGCGTGTGGCTGTGCTTGTTGTGTACAAAGGACGTATTCTAAGGTATTTTTTAATCAGTCTGGCTTTCTTATTCCAAATTTATCTGAAACAGACCAGACACCCAGCTCATAAAATTGTTCATTTATTTGATACCGTGTCATTTTCTTTTCATTCCTGCTTCACAGCTCATATTGTGCTTGATGCAAATCTCCGATGCTCCGCAATTACAATGGCGCGCTGTGATCCCTTTCTTTCGAACAGACTTCGCAGCCACTGACGCTCTGCTTGAGCGATTATTAAATCTCGCCTCTCAGCGTTCCTTATTTCCTACCGTGCAAATTTCTCATAAATTCACTTTTTTTTCTTCAGTGTGACAGCTAATAAATCCTCTACCAATCTTTTGGACACATGTTCAATCATCATGTCTGAAGCGGTGGCTGGTGTCAAGAAACACCACGTCCTAGTACAGCATGTTGAGTGAGTTCTAGGTGAACTGGGTTGCGTCCTTGTGTGATATTGTCCTGGGCAGAGTGGACTGATGTGATCCGACTGACAATCATGTCCCCATTATCGCTTAGTCCTGCATGCTAGGAGTGAAAGTTAATCCAGCCTGATAAAATGGCCAAGAACAGTCAAACTGAGGTAACAGTCAAAGCTAAAGCTTGTATGATGACAGCCAGGTAACCGGTGATTCAAACACAGCACTGGCTTCTACATCTCTACTGTTAGTTAATGCTTTAGATATCATGAAATAGAAATGAACATTTTTTACAGTATTTATTAATCTAATTATGATTTTTACTACTGTTGATTGTCAATTTGTGTTTATTCATAATACACAGTTCAATTTAATTTAAATCGTAATGCATATGACTCCAGTCGATCAACTAATGTCATGTGAAGTGACAAGCCCATAATTTATAATAATGCTTTCTCAAGTGAAAAAGTCCATCTCCTGTTATCCTCTCATCCACCATTGTGTTTGTTTAGAACTGTTTTCGCTCATAAACAGTGCTTGATCTGTGCATATTTCTCTCCTGATTCAGACTAGATTAATTTTTCACTGGAGAAAGCAATATTATAGATAAAGGACTTATTTTTAGCTGAAAAAAAAAAGTTTGTAATGATGGATTTGTTTATTAGAAACACAGCTTTTCACTTAATAAGACGCCAATTCATGGACAAGTGGTCGTGTGGATTTCTTGTAGATTATTGTGATGTTTTTGCCAGCTGTTTGGACTCATTCTGACGGCACCCATTCACTGCAGTGGATCCGTTGGTGAGCAAGTGATGTAATGCTTCAATTCTCCAAATCTGTTCTGATGAAGAAACAAACTCATCTCTTGGATGGCCTGAAGGTGAGTAAATGTTCAGCAAATTTTCATTTTTGGGTGAACTATTCCTTTAACAATAGATGGGATTAATAAATGCTCTAAAAGCATTGTTTATGTAAAACTGTTATTCCATGATAGCTAATGTATTAACTAATGTTAACATATATAAACAGGAAAACTGTAAGCTGTTACCGCTAACACTGTTTTGCAGCTCCTTTTTGTCACAAAAACATTTGAGTTTATGATTTTTTTAGGACTGCTAAGCTAGTTAGTGACTTTTGAGTCATCAGTCAAACTGACAGGACCTCACTAAACCACAAGAGCTTTTTATGGCTTTCTGTTCATGTGTCAAGTTAAATGTTGTAAACTGTAAAGCGTATAACTCTTTTTGCCCGTGAAGGACATACTGGCATAGTGAATCGAATGGGGCTAATCCATAGGAGATGTAGACATTCAGTTTATCTCCTATTTTAGTAATGAGAATCCAAGAGTGCTTCAATTACAGTCTTTACACATTTACTGACACTGGCAGCATGTCTGGTTTAGCACTAAATGGCACAGTCTGCCAGAGAACTGTCTGATGAGCACTTCAATGTTGAATACTTTTGAGCTCAGGGGTTTTAACACTTTCTGATGCCATAAACCTCCAAATATAATGGTCCATTTTGGTCCTCTTTCTAAAAATATTAAAAACATTAGTGTAAATATTTACTTTGACACTGTAACTGTTTGTATCATATATATACAGTTTTGTATTTGTATTCAGTTTTGGGTCTGACAGGAGTCTCCCATGCTCACAAAGGCTGCATTTATTTATCAAAAATATCCAAAACCTCTGGTTTCAAAACCCCTGTTATACTTCACACATATTTTCTTATGTATCTGAAGTAAAACAAATGAAAACAAGACAAGACAAGTAAAAAAAAAAACAAGACAAGTTAAAAGGCCTTCTTTAGTTTGTTTAATGTAAGTTTCTCTTTGCTCTTGCATGTCTTACAGCCCTGTTCTATATACGTACATATTTATATTTCTTTTTACAGCTAACCAGTACAACAACAATGCAGAAATGATACTTGGAGAGTACTTTTTTCAGATGAGCATAAGAAACCATTCCCACTGGATGTACATAAAGCACATTATAACATATACTTGACTGTGGTATCAACCCTCGTATTTACTTATGAATTTCATCACTAAAACTTAGGTCATATTTCACACAACAAAGGTGATACAATAGCCGAAAAGATAATCCTAGATTAGATATAAACTTTGAGAAGCATAATATGGTCATTGTAAACAAAGATGGTATTTACAAGTAAATATCCAGGATGAATGGCATGTCCCAAAAGTTCCCAAAATAAGCAAAATCGGTACTAAGCACTCATCCTCATGGTGTGTTTCACCGGAGAGGATAAGCGCTAAAATAGATGTGACATTTACAAATTTAAAGGAGTTTAGAAACTCCAAAAAAAAAAAAAAAAAAAACCCAAAAAATTGAGTCAGTAGGTCCTAATAAGGGACAGGAGCAGCAGGTTTTGCTGATAAGCCTTCAAAAAAATTCTGTGCACTGCTTGACACTGTTTGAGTACAAGTTGGAGTTTTCAGGCTTTCCTGTGGCATCAGCTCAGAGAAAATAATTTATCATCTGCAGCACCCTAGTATGCAGAAGCTGCGTCAATCTTTCACTGTCAGAAGTGGTTCTTGCATCTCCATGCATCTCTTTTTTTCTTGACCAGATCTCTCTGTGATGGTAGAAAAAAATTGCAGCATAATGCGCCACATATAAGAGTTCGGGCCACACCTGTTTGCAGAAAGTTTTTCTCAACAGAAGTAATCCTAGATGACCTTTTACTGACATTCAAATATGTCCATGTTTGTCCGTTATCTCCGATAAGTGAGAAAGTAAAGCAGGTGGACCAAGAATAGTTTCATCACACTGAAACACCACAGCGCGCACAGAACCACTTGCGGAAAAAACTTAAAATACAACATTTTTGTATGGTACAGAGGCGGCAGCAGCAGTCCAGCAGCAGGTCTGATCGGTGAGCGGCTATAATGTCTGTGGGGCTGTTAGAAGAACTGAGACCAGAGACAGCAGCAGCACAGTCCAGTCCAGCAGGCAGACAGCACTAGTTGAGCTCCGAGCTATTGCATTAAAGCTACTGGGGTCATTCAGCTGTGGATCCTGTGGAAAAAATGTCATGTTTTCATATTGTTAGTCATTCTGACATTTTCTGATTGTTTTGTTCTTAGTTGTGTAGGCCTACAAATTTTAAAAACCTTAAAATGTCACAGTTTAGGCAAAATGTGCATTTTTTTACAGATTTACGTGAATAGTATGAAAGCCCATTTCCACTTCAGAGTTAAAAAATAAAAAGCTATTTGCTACTTTTTCTTCTAATTATGTCTTCATATCTTACAAATGCAACTTAACAGCGCACAATTGCAAGTTTGCCTGTTAATTATGATTTTATATCTCACACTTGGGACTTTCATAATTCTCTCTTCTGTGACAGGTCACAGCTTTAACCTCTTAAGATAGTCGCAATTACAAAAAATACAGTCACAATTACAAGAATAAAAAATAAAACAGGTAATTACAAGAAGTTGTGACTTATTTCTCAAAATTGCGACTATATCACAGTTGTGACCTTATGTTACATTCGGTCGCAGTTGTAAGACAGTCGCAATTACAAGATATTAAATCTGTCTTCGACAAAATTGTCTCATAATTATGACTTCATGTATTGTTATTGTGACTGTGTTTCTCTTAATTGTGACCCTTACAACTGTGACCTTGTGTCACATAAAATATGAGAAATAAAGTCCTAATTGTGAAATACTCATAATTACCCAATTTTATTTATTATTCTGAGGTGGGGCTTTCATAGCGTACCTTTATGGAATGGAATCAAAAGGGCTGTTCAAACAAGATATGTTTTGCCTTTAAAAGAGCTTAATATGCCCTATAAACATACTGTACATATCTGTAAAAAAAAAAAAAAAAGTTTCCACCTACTTTAACTTTAAAACATAAGTTCAGATGCTGCCTTAATTTTTTTAAAGTATAATCAAATTGGCTGTGCAGGTAATTTCAGCTTAAATTATATTAAACTTACTTTTAAAGAAATGTGTTGAATGTAGTATAATTTAAGTTGAAATTGGTTAAATTATTTTGATGAGTTAAAGTAATGAAAAACATTATGTTATCATGACTTATTGAACACATCATTTTTTACAGTGGGATGCAGCAACAACAAGACACGCCGCAACGTTCAACAACGTCTGCTTAGTGCATGATTGCATAGACAAAAATGTACAGAATGCATCTCGTGTGAACAGCCCCTTATTGACTGGAAAATGCTAGGTGAGTAGAAATGTACGATTCTTACCACACAAAGAACATCCAGAGTAACATTACTTTTCAGTTTCTGAGCCTATAAAGAAAGAGAGAAAGAGGCCAGCTGAAATACGGGCTGAAAAGTCAATTAATTGCAAGAAGCTCTTCAAGGTTTTGTGTTATAAACCATTTCTCACACTGAAGCATTTCCATCCAGCAACCCTTTAAACTGAGTCCAGTGCGATCTAAGTCAAGCACAGCTCCAATAAAGCACTGTAATTTACCACGGCAAATAGAGGTCATATAGTATTGGCCTCAAAGACAGGTCTTCTGAGTGAGATGTACTGTTATGATAATGAGCCCCACAGCCCACACACAAACACCACACGTACACAGCGCTGTGGCCAAGAGCTCTCTCTGAGGTCCTGCTTCTGCTCAAATCAATGTGCTGTGTGTGTGTTTCATTGTGTGCAGGAGGCCAGTGTGTCTGCATTAATATGTGCCACACCAATACATTTTAATATCTAGTTACATGAGACTCTGCTCTGTTATCCAGTTTCCCACATGCGTGCGCACACACACACACACACACACACACACAAGTTTGGTTTGTTGAAACGATAAAGTGATTCCTCAGAGAATCTGGAATATAATAAAGATGCCGTACAATGGAGAGAGAATGGAGCTAATTCTTGCGAAAAGCATTGTGGGATAGAATGATTAATAACCGTCCTGGAAGTCTATCTGACAAAAGAAACTCTTTCTACTAATAAATCATAATATTGTTATTACTCCAATATGACGAATTGTTGTGCTATATCTGCAGGAGTGTATCCTGGTATTCTGTATTTGAACTGTATTATGAGCTGCAGATTTAGAGGAAAAAAATAATTTTAAATACAAGTTAAGCTTTATCAACAGCATCTGTAGCATGCTGTCAATTATAGAAGAAAATAACTGAAGAAAGTGCCTTGGAGGACTAAAATATGAAGCTTGTATTTTTTACATAAACATTTACATGAACTAATTTTACATTTACATGAACTCTTCAGTTTGATAAGATGAAAAGTTGTCTAAGTCATCCTTCTTAGGGGAAAAAATTAGGCGGATCTTTATAAGTCCGTAAAACCCTGTAAAAAAACTCAACCGTGTTTAACTAATATTAAACGTTACCAACTTCAAGCACTCAAGTCTCCAATTGTGTGAGGCATTTATTTGGCCAAAAACATAAAAGCCCAGATGAATGCAGTTTTTCTGCCTATGCACACTGGCTTTTTAATATTTTTGGTCTTAGAAATGCTTCACACATCTGGAGACTTGAGTGCATTGTGTGTGTTTTTCCTCCTCTATCATTTCAGTATTCTTTTATGATTATTTTTGACAGAGTCCTTTTGTGTTTTTTCTCTCAAAGTTTTTTCCTTAAATTTTGATGTTTTTAGAGATTTTGCTTTTTTAAACCAAGGTAGCAATTTTCTATTTAAAAAAAAATCATAAATTCAATTTATTTAATGAAAATAAAATATATTTTTAATTCAGTGAAAGAAAATAGCAAATATACCTAAGAATTACGGTGTTTTTAAAGTGAAGGATATTTTTTAATTTTGCCCCATAGACTTACTTACTAAGTGCATCATTTTTTTTTACAACAATGGACGAGTCACACATTATGTTTTAATCGACAGCTTATGCTCCACAGAGTATATTTAACCTGGAATATTCCTCTGAAGATCTATATCTGTGTATATGCCAGTTGTTTTAGAGACTGCGTGTGTGCCAGTCTTGAAGTTAGATTTGCAGATGATTGGTGAAGATATCTTTCCCTCAGAGAGATTGTAATGGGTGGGTATATCCTGCTTAAGGGTGTTCCTCATGTTAATGTGCTAGCCAATTAGCTCTGACATGACAGCTCTGGCAGTTTGATGTATCTCATTTCTACCTAGAGGCCCTATGTGTGTGTTATCACTGCAACAGCCCACACCCATCAATCAAAAGTAAAGCCTCATCTCACTCTGAGACTCGAAAAATCGTATCGTCATCGTATGCCTAGCAAAGCCTGAAAGCATCCAAACAAGCTGCCGGCTGTTTGTAAAGTTGACGTAGGCTGTGTGTCTGTGTGGGCCAACAGCAACATGTGTGTCTGACTGACAGCTGTCGTTCACCATCAGAGATAGTCAATATGGTGGTTTCGAAAAAACAGATTGAGCGACATTTTACACTGCCTTTTTCACTGCACTTTCCTAATCAACAGATTAGGAATAAACAAGTTAGATGAACAGATTGATTTCTGATGACTTTCAGAAATTAGGATGTCAATTTCAGTTAATTTCTGTAAATATAACACGCTGCTTGCTTTCAGTACCTGCAGACTTCCACAGAAGCTGTAGAGATGGTCTGCGTTACTGTCCAGGTCATTGGTGAGTGCTGGGTCATCCAGTGCGTTGGATGTCCTGTCTCGTCCTCTCTGTGGAGTGAAAGGGTCAGGTGGAGTGGACACGATGGGTGGCTGGGGTTGCCACACACCAACATCTGTGCCATTACCAAACGCCTGGATGGCATTGCCTGCTGATTATTTTTGACAGAGTCCTTTTGTGTTTTTTCTCTCAAATTTTTTTCCTTAAATTTTGTTTTTAGAGTTTTTGCTTTTTTAAACCAAGGTAGCAATTTTCTATTAAAAAAAAAATCATAAATTCAATTTATTTAATGAAAATAAAATATATTTTTAATTCAGTGAAAGAAAATAGCAAATATACCTAAGAATTACGGTGTTTTTAAAGTGAAGGATATTTTTTAATTTTGCCCCATAGACTTACATTATAAGTGCATCATTTTTTTTTACAACAATGGACGAGTCACACATTATGTTTTAATCGACAGCTTATGCTCCACAGAGTATATTTAACCTGGAATATTCCTCTGAAGATCTATATCTGTGTATATGCCAGTTGTTTTAGAGACTGCGTGTGTGCCAGTCTTGAAGTTAGATTTGCAGATGATTGGTGAAGATATCTTTCCCTCAGAGAGATTGTAATGGGTGGGTATATCCTGCTTAAGGGTGTTCCTCATGTTAATGTGCTAGCCAATTAGCTCTGACATGACAGCTCTGGCAGTTTGATGTATCTCATTTCTACCTAGAGGCCCTATGTGTGTGTTATCACTGCAACAGCTCACACCCATCAATCAAAAGTAAACCCTCTTCTCACTCTGAGGCTCGGAAAATGAAAGTGATTGTATGCCAAGCAAAGCCTGAAAGCATCCAAACAAGCTGCCGGCTGTTTGTAAAGTTGACGTAGGCTGTGTGTCTGTGTGGGCCAACAGCAACATGTGTGTCTGACTGACAGCTGTCGTTCACCATCAGAGATAGTCAATATGGTGGTTTCGAAAAAACAGATTGAGCGACATTTTACACTGCCTTTTTCACTGCACTTTCCTAATCAACAGATTAGGAATAAACAAGTTAGATGAACAGATTGATTTCTGATGACTTTCAGAAATTAGGATGTCAATTTCAGTTAATTTCTGTAAATATAACACGCTGCTTGCTTTCAGTACCTGCAGACTTCCACAGAAGCTGTAGAGATGGTCTGCGTTACTGTCCAGGTCATTGGTGAGTGCTGGGTCATCCAGTGCGTTGGATGTCCTGTCTCGTCCTCTCTGTGGAGTGAAAGGGTCAGGTGGAGTGGACACGATGGGTGGCTGGGGTTGCCACACACCAACATCTGTGCCATTACCAAACGCCTGGATGGCATTGCCTGCGTAAAGCAGAAATAAAGAGAAAAATGTTTATAATCATGGTAGGGCAAAACAGTATATAAGAATTGGCTACTTTAAAAAATGAATTGGAATTTGAATTGAATCAGCCACACCCCCAGGGATGTTGAATTGGAATTTAAAATTGTTTTTTTTTTGCTGATATATAAAACTAGATTTCCCCCCCCCTCAAAACTACACTTATTATTGTCAAAACAATTAACACAGCACCTCAATTCAAATTGTGGTATAGTGTTATTTTAGTATAATTTTATATTATTATAGTATTTATTAATATTTTTAAAATAGTGTTTATATTTAAATCAGTTTCAGTTGTAATGTTATTTTTAGTTTCATTTATAGTAATTGTGCTTTTGTACATTTTAGTAATTTTAGTTTTTAATATTTCTATTTAGCTTAATTTATTTTTATTTTAGTTCTAGTAATTGTACAGCTTCAACATATTTTATTTAACATTTCAATTATCTTTCAAGTCCAAGTTCTTAATCTTATTTTATTCCAGCTTTATAAAATTTTAGTTTTAACTGAATAAACCAAAATGCATTCTCAATTCAGGCCTGTTTAAAATACAATTGACATTGACATGTCGCTATCAAATGTTTGGTCTTTTGTTATCTACACCTATTTGGATATTAAGAGCTTCTCTCTTCATCTCTTAATACTAAAGCAGATGAACTCTGATAAAGAGGCACTTAGCCTCTGTGTGTAAGTGCAGTAAGACCTTCACTTACTTACTAAGTTTCTGGGACCTTTCTGGTTATAAAACGGAGGAGGCCATTATGAAGCAACTGCTTTTTTAAATGACTTTATTCTGAAGAGCACTTTTGACTTCAGAGTGTCTTATTTACCTCTTGCCACAGCAAGCTAAAGGGCAAGTGGGAGATTATTGATGGGTACTCAGGTAAAGAATAAGCTGCATGTGTATTAAGTACCGTCTATTGACAGAGACAAGGGTAGGCTGACCTTATTATTGAGTGAGCGTTGAATTTCCCTTAAGGCCGTGCAAGCTCATTCTGTTTCTTAAGGGTTAAAAACTCATAAAGCCTCATTCTGCATCTTCCATTGCATTGGATGGATGTGTATTCCAAGTATAATTCTGGATAGTTTATATACAGTAGATTTAAAGGCTTAAAGGACAGATTTTTTGGGGGGTTGTCAGACTGTACAATATGACCCTGGAGAGATCTTGAGTAAAAGCCAAGGCAGACTGTGCAACATCAACTGTACTTATACATCTTAGCAGACTTTAAGCAAAGAAGGGAGTATATTGACTGTTCATTCTTTAGGAGCAAATTCAAGCTCATCTTGACTGTACAATTGTAACATGTTAGGAGGATCTTTATATTACACATCATATAGACAAGCTAACATTATTCTCTCACTCTCTCTCACATGTCTTTAATTGCTGTGCTCGTATTGGTTTATTATTAGATGGCCATCAAATGAGTGGCCAGATTCAGATGCTTTTTTAGAAAAGTAATTTAATGTGTTAAAATCTATGAGAAAATTTTCATCATTTAACCTAATATGATAATAAAGGCTTCCGTTTTGGATTTTTTTTTTTTAGTTAATTCAAAACAGAAAATTCTGTCATCTTTGTTCATCCCATGGGTGAACAATATCATGGACACTCAAGGTGAATAAAAAAGTATTGGTACTTTAGAACCAAGTCAAAAACCTGCACTAACTACTAATTGAGCATAAACAAAACTGATTTATATCAACATGATGTGTGCATTAGGTCTGATGCATCCTAATAGACCTGCTGCTGTCTGTAATGCCAGTAATGGGCCCTCCGTGATATACAAATAATGGCATGTGTTCATTACAAATTAGAAAGAGCTAAGAAATCATTTTGCTGATGTTGTCTCATGCTGTTTGAGCTCCTTGACATCTTGTTGGACAGTTTGTTCTCTTTCCCTCACCTCTCTCTCTATAGGTAAACACAAAAGATGAGAACGTGTCAGATATGAGGTGTGGATGTGACGTGACTTGTGTCGGTACTGCTGTATCATCCGGGCTGTCATCCTAAAGGCCATTGTCTCATGTAGACAAATCCTCCCTCTCATCTGCTCCCTGTCTATTTCCCTGCATCCAGTTTATCTCAATGGATGTTTTTGAATAACTCCCTGACAAAATAATGCATGCTTTCCCTACTCTTCCAGGCCCATGGACACCCGAGTAATGCTTTATTGCCTTTTTATGTCAATCCCCCCTCTCAGCCACCCCATTTAAGAGGGATTTCTCTCTCTCGGCCGTCAGACTGCCCTGAACCACGCAGCAACACAAATCGCAGAGATCAGATTTACTGGTGCAGACTGTGAATGATCATGAAGATGCAACGGAGCAGAATTCAGCTTTAGAGTCAGTCTTGATGGGCAAATTCTGTCAGTCAGCGCAGAACGCCATGTGACCAATGATATAGCAGCAGCAGCAGCTGTGAATGAAGTCTACTCACGGAGACAACGGTTGTTGGTGAAGAACTCGGTGAACTTGTCACACTCTGCTTTTCCGTTTCCACTGTTGCTGCAGTCACACCAAGGTGACACGCTGATGCCAGGGGCACGGAGGTAGTTTGGAGTCATCACCGTACCTGTGTCACACATAGCAAGGAGCAAAGTTCAAAGGTCATTTATGTTGAAAACAAGGACGTTTATGAAATTAGATTCTAACAAGACAGTGGCTGTATTTCAAAATCTAGCAAGCAGCCATTATAGACAGCATTAGGGATCAAAAAAGCATGCTGGATAGGCAGTTTACTAGGTAAGACAAACAGTGCGGACAAGGCAATGCCTTATAATAAATAAATGTAAAAAAAACAACAACATTATTTTATCCTTAACATTACATAACACAGATAAGTAGTCCAAGTACATTCAAATGCAAAATATACAGTGGCCCCAAACATTTAGACGCATGTCTAATGTCCAAACATTAGAAGTGTATGAAAGTCATTTCATTAGATACAAATTATTATAGGAATAGTTTACCCAAAAATGAAAATTACCCCATGATTTACTCACCCTCAAGCCATCCTAGGTGTATATGACTTTCAGATGAATACAATTAGAGTTATATTTAAAAATGTTCTGGCTCTTTCAAGCTTTATAATGGCAGTGAATCGGTGATGAGATTTTGAAGTCCAATAAAGTGGGAAAGTTTCTACTCCTCATGGCTTCAGGGGGTTAACTTTTTCCCCGCCAGCATTTTTGAAAAAAGTTGTCAGCCACCGCCAGCAATTTTGATGATTTTCACTAAACTTTGATGGCCTCCAGTATATTTTGCTGTATGAATATTTGAATATGCAATACACCAAAATAAAGATCAGAGCATTTGCACGCCTTCAATTGAGAGTGGCGTTCCAGCAGATGGCGTAGGACGTAGGCATAGCGTAAGCTGGATGGATGCACTTTATTGGACTTCTAAATCTCATCACCCATTCACTGCCATTATAAAGCTTGGAAGAGTCAGGACACTTTTTAATATAACTGACTGTATTCATTCAAAAGAAAGAAAGTCATATAAATCTAGGATGGCTTTAGGGTGAGTAAATTATGGGGTAATTTTCATTTTTGGGTGAACTATCTATTTAAGCCAAGTGGCACCTCAGCGTAATTTTAATGGATGTATGAAGCCAGTTACAAATGCTGCATGTAGTTAATTGCATTACCTATGGACATGATCCATCTGAAAACCAGAATATATGCATATGTCTTGTGGTTTTAGTTTTTGAATGTTATTGATTTTTTTTTTTTTTATAATACACTACTATTCAAAAGGCTAGGGTACAATACTTAATACTTTTATTCAGCAAGGATGCATTAAATTAATCAAAAGTGACAGTAAAGGCATTTGTAATCTTAGAAAAGATTTCTATGTCAAATAAATGTTGTTCATTTGAACTTTCATTGCATCAAATAAGCTTTTTGTTGACAACAATGTTTTTCTGTACATTTACCATAGTAGTACCATTTTTGAAATTAGCTTTGATTCATGACACTCTAAGGTATATAGTAATGACACAGTACACATCCAAAAACCATAGCACAAGAATTTCAGTACTGTGGTATAAAATATATATATAGTACTGTACTGCCACAATAATTTATTGATGTGAGTTAACTCACCAATAAGACCTGAATATGCCAGCAGACAGTTGGCATAGTTTTCCTTCAGACACCCAGAAATCGAGCGCGCCTCAGGTTGACAGTTGGTAAGGAAGTCAGCTAAACGAGATCTGAAAAAAATTAAGCAGGAATGAACAAGAATCCACACGCCACATCTCCTCATTAAACAGACTCAGCACACAAGTGACATTCCTGCAGTCATCTCTTCTCAGACACCATTCACCCCACAGGATAAATAATGAACTCGCTGAAAAGTATAGTGAATATTCCAGCACTTTCCTCCTTACTCCATGACATGTAACACAAGCTGTCTTTTATCGAACCTGCAGATGTAGTTGGTCTTGCAGGAGTCTTGTAAGGAGAGACAGTTGGGTTTTTCTTTGTCCTCGTAGGAGCAGGCTGGCACGATGGTCTGACGTCTGCGCTCGGAGCAAGCCGTGTGATCCCCGGAGGGGCAGGAGCAGAAAAGCATGCCATAACTGTGTTTTGGTGGCACCTTGTCGAAGAACTGCCGCAGGGCCTTGTGGCACTTGCGCTTGTTACACACCTCAGTGGTTGAGACTCTACTGGTGCAGGGACTGATGTAGAAGGAGCGGTACTTCTTACACGTGTCATTCAGGTTGCAGGCCTTGGCGGCGTTCAGGCAGTTGTTGTCCTTCGTAAAGGCCGCCTCACCTATGCGGGCAGAGATTTAGAGGGAGAGTTAGGAACACTACTGGCTGAGTTTACTGATGCAAGTGCTGTAAATGTCAAAGAACACTTGCTGAGAGTGGGGCAACTGTTGACCTTTTAGGACTCTCTGTGAACGTCCTCTGGCTGAGGTCGTCCCGTATGGCATTCACATAACTAGAGGCCATATGTCAGCCAGTATGTGGTCTGTGTGAGAGTAACTGTACTACTAACTGATATTCAGGAAAATGACAGAATTTTATTCCTAGTAGATTTAAAGATGAAGTGTGTAAAATACATTTTCCTGTCCCGGATTGTTAGCGACAACTGCAAGTAAGCCATTTGTAGGCTGCTTACAATGAAAAGCGTCAACGCTTTGTTTCTGTTGCACTTTCAAAGTATTACTTCTGTTTGTTTGAGCTTCCACGCACAGCAACAGTGGTTCAACCAATGGTGCAAGTTTAGGGCGGGGCTCTCTGTTTGACCAGCCAATGGCAGAGTGTTTGGGAAACCTTTTTGAGAATGCAATATATATACACACACTACCGTTCAAAGTTCAGTGCTCAGTAAGATTTTTTTATGTTTTTGAAAGAAGTCTCTTATTCTCACCAAGGCTGCATTTATTTGATCAAAAATAGAGTAAAATAGTAATATTGTGAAATAGTGTTACAACTTAAAATAACTGTTTAGTATTGGAATATATTTTAAAATGTAATTTTTTTCTTGTGATGGCAAAGCTGATTTTTTTAGTAGCCATTACTCCATTCTTCAGTCACACAATACATCAAAAATAATTTTTTATATGGTTCTAAAGAAATATTTTGAAAACTTGTGCTGCTTAATACTTTTGTGGTAAAAGTTAAAAACTTTACTGTCACTTTTGGACAATTCAATGTATCCTTGATTAATTAAAAAATAAATAAATAAAAAACTGACCACACATTTTTGAACGGTAGTTTATATATTTCTCCATAATTCGTTCACATATTTCATTCTCATCACCAGTCTAGTGTGTCTGAAAATAAAATCACACAAATGCTATTTTTTCTCATTTATTATTGTTTCTCAATTTCTTCAACAGATCCCACACAAACTGCCTCAAGCATACCGAGACTCAATTTCCAGCCCTTTTATCATGTATTTCCCACCAAGAACTGACATCCTGCAGAGTGTTACAATTAGATAAAGCAACTAAACTCGGTTTAAAATAGGTTTTATTTGTGTTGCGTTTTAATCTTTTGCCTGAAGAACTTCCCTCAGCTGCTTGTACACTTTCCTTTTGTTTCCCTCATCTCAATCTACACAGCATTTGCGTCTCTTGAACAAACAACCTCAGGTGAATGCTTCACTTTCACTCACATGGATAAGTTCACAATCCTGAAAACTGTTTGCCTTTCCTCTCTTTTCTAAGCAGTCTTTTTGCTTAAATACACATTCCTATAAGAACACAAACGCTGTCAGACTATTTAGCAATGCAAAAAGAAAGAACATAAACATGTACTGAATACTGTGCTGAGCATTTTCAAAAATAGCTTTGATGATATAGGATGACATAAGGTTTATTTTGGAATAATGATCATCTGAATGTGCATTATACTTTAATTATATGACTATTTACCAACTGAATAAATAAATGGACATGAACTATTTAAGTTAAAATTATTTTAATAGGCTACATGATAGATAGATAATAAACTAGTATAGTTTTGTAGAAGATTTGGTTGCCAGGGACAATGGTCACTTATAATGTTTAGCTAAATGTATATTTAATATATATATATATATATTAGTATAACATAAAATATATGATAAAATACTGACCAATCCGAATCAAGTCTCCAGTGAGCCGTGTAATAAGTGAGGATATTCTTCTTTACCTAATGATGACTCCGTCTTCTCTCGACTCCTCTGCTTCCCGCTTCAGTAACTCAACCTTTTTGTCGATGCGCTGCAGCTTTCGCATGTGCATGGAATGCTGCATTTTGCAATTATGTGTTTTGATGAGGAATTTGTGCTTATTGTGGGCTTTCGTGAGATGACTGGATGTGATTAAATCTGAAAGCAGCCTAGATCCTTGAGGTTAATTACCTATTACAAAAAACATTACTTACGTTTTACAAGCACGTTGACATGAGGCTCAAGGTTATTGGATGGATGTTTAATTGTTGTTTAGAAGTTGCAGTCATGTGGACAGGTTCTGCAACATGCCAGAGTCTATAAAACTAACCCATATCTTCTTGTGATACATCGATCCTAAGCCACATTTATCATATTTGTCATATTTATTATTATTATTATTATCTGACTGCTATTTTGTATTTGTAACTTGTAAATTGCATTTGGTTTGATATTCTTGTTTAAAGGAATAGCTCACCCAATAATGAAAATTTGCTGAAAATGTACTCAGACCATCAAAGATTAGTTTGTTTCTTAATCAGAACAAATTTGGAGAAATTTAGCATTACATCACTAGTTCATCAATGGATCCTCTTGAGTGAATTCAGAATGAC